GCCCCTGTGTCACCCCTCTGAGCCCCCCCCCTCCAGATGTCTCAGAATAGCACGGGCTCCGGAGCCAAGGTCCTACCCACTGGTGGCTGTGGGCCAGCTACTAAACCTTGGCCTCATCTGCAAGATGTCTCATCGTGTCCGGAGGAGCCTGCGGTTACCTGTCAGAAGCACTTCTCTGTCAGCGCAGAGATGGAAGCTCCCAGGGCTGCCCGTCTGCAGGCGGGTCACCCATCTGCAAGGGCTGGGTCTTAGCGTCTCTTCTCCCTCCCAGCACACAGCACTAATTCCATGGACGTGGAAATGGAAGCCCAGAGAAAAAGAAAGAGGACCGACACGGCTGACCGCCGTCCTGGTTTCCAGCCCTCTGGTCTTCAGAACCACCCTATGGGAAGGAAGAGGATGGTCTACAAGTCACAAAAGGGCTAGGCAGGCTCAGGGGGCAGTGACAGCCCAGGCCACACAGGAGAGGCCTAGTCAGCACCTAGTGCTCTGGGCCTGGCCCGAGTGTAGGAGGTGCTGGGATCCTGGCATGGAGTCAGGGCAGAGGCTGGACAGAGGACGGAGGCACAGAGCAGCCGGGGTCATCACCTCCTGTCCTGGAAGAGAGGCCACCCTGTCTTCAAGGCAGTGACCATGTGCCAAGCGCTCAGTCGGAGGGACTGAGCAGGGTTCTGGACCAGGGGCAGTCACTTCCTGGGCAGGGCTGGAGCTGAGGCTGGGCGGAGCCCAAGAGGATATGAGTCTGGAGGTCTCCGGGGTGGACAACTGCAGGTGAGAAGTTCTGGAACTGCACCGAGGTCTTGTTGCCATAGAAGAGATACATGCGGCCTGGCAGGTGGAGGAGGCAAGGTTCCATCTGGTTCCTTTGATGCCCTCCCTAGCCACTGCCCAAGCCAAGGTCTCCCCTCACACCGTCCCCACAGTCCCCAACACACCCAGGTTCTGCCGGAACTCTGACTTAACTCCAATCTGCAGCAGCTGGTTCTCGAACAGGACCCCATTGTTCTTGCACACAAACCTGGGTGGGGTGGTGGTGGTGGGGTGCTCAGGATGACGGGTACCTGTCTGGACCCTGCCGTGGGCTCCACAGCTGCCCCCCGCCCCTCCTCCATTCTTCCCTGGACTCACTTATTCAGCAGCTCATCAGCTTCCGGGATGGGAGGACCAATGTCCTCAGGACCTGGGCTGGAGGTAGGGAAAAGAGTGAGATGGAGAGAGTCTTTGGGGGGGGACCACAGCTAATGGGTATGAGGCCTGGACGAACAGAACTGGAGACTCTTCAAAACACCTCCAGGAACCCCAAGATCAGAATGGCAGTTGCTTCTAATGGGAATGGGGAATGAGACCCTGGCACATGCCCCATCAGAAAACCCCAGGTTGCATTTTTCTTCAAGTCCCCCTGTACCTGACACTGTCATCAGGAACCCACCGAAGAGAGCGCCAATCCCCCAAACCTCCCTGGGATACCAGAGTCTCCCCCCCACACCCTCAGGCCACCCCCTTACTCGGCAGCTGGAGCTGGGTCAGCCAGCAAAGCCATGGGGCTCTCAGGGGCAGGCGGCTCCAGAAAAAAACCAAACCCAAGAGCAGACAAGAGAAGACAGGCGTGGCAGCCAGCCAATCCCAGAGAGGCAGCAAGAGTAGGGGAGAGAGGGAAGAGGGAAGAGAAGGAAGAGGAGGCTGAGAAACAGTGATGAGAAAGGAGGAAGGTGGCCAAGGTCAGCAAAGTCCAGAGTGGCCGGAAGGAGGGAGGCAGGGAACTAAGAGGCCTGGGCTGGGGTGGTGACAGCCAGGGCTGTCACAGGCTTGAGGGAAAGGGAGAGAGAGGAGCAGTTGGGAGGTGGAAGGGGCTGAGTGGAAAAGAGGGCAGAGGCCCAGAGGGGTAGCCCTGGAGGGGATGGGCGCAAGGTGGGTGGTACCTGAGGAAAGCCTCCTCAGGGGTGGGCCCCAGGCTGGGCTGGGCAGCTGGGCCATCGGAGAAGACGTCCACCAGGAGGTTCCCCGCACCTGCAGGAGCCGCGGGTGGGGCTGGGGGAGGGGCTGCCCGAGGCCCCAGGAGGTCCGCGGAAGGCGAGGGCGTCGACTGCAGGAAGTGCAGGTGAAGGTGAGAAAAGGTGCCCACGGCCACACCCAGTTTGGTGGCCTTCAAGGCCCACCCCGAGGACTCACCACGGTGCTCGGGGTGGGCTCCACACCCCCATTGATGTCGTTGCTACTGGGGTCCCTCCGGCCATCATCTAGGGCGCTGCCGGCCCCCGGCCCCTTCTTGCGTTTCAGCTTGGCCAGGATGGAGGACTCCCGCTCG